AATCACCATTCAACAGACTCAAGCCACCACCGCACTGCCGTCTATTGGACTGCAGAAAGATACTAACTTTTCAATCAGCTACGTTACTGACTGTACTAACAAACTATGCTGACACCGTGTCTGCGCTGCAACAGAACGCATCAAAGCGACCGTTGAAAATCATTTGAACTTCTGTCAGCACGTCATAAATAGAACGAGGCATCAGTTTACTGAATCCGGTGTAGCGTCACTGAATCTGCTGTTAAAATGAACCATCCATTCATCATATCATCATGCAAAACAAAGAATTAGAATCATTGTAATGTGACGATCAAATATAGGTGCGGGTGGGTGGCGGGCGGATAATTTGAAGCAGAGGACTCAGGTGAAGTTTGAGCTCATCCGCGCATCTCTACACTACACTGACCTGGGTCCAGTAACAAACAATGGAGCGCGCTCTGCTGGACAAACTAAGTAATTACACAACTCAGAAGCATTTAATCTGCGTTATATGTTCTGTAAAATAAAAATGTTCATTTCGGCGGCATATTCGCCGATACCGATATATCGGCGACAGGCTCATATCGGCCGATAATATCGGCTAAACGATATATCGGTCAGGCTCTAATTGTAACCACTACCGTAAAATGACTCATACTGTAATATAAATTTTTGGTCATGCCACTCACCCCCTCCTTGTGTTTCTGTAAACAGAATGGAGTTATATTCCAATGAAAGACACAGCAACTCTGCTTTGACTGCTGCCTCCTACAGTGTCTACCTGTCATTAACACCAAACTCAAAACAAACCATGACTGTTTTGTCTGTTAGAGTTGTTAGAGTCCTTGGAAATTATCTTATACTGCTGATAAATCCTAGAAAAAAGAAAAACATGAAAGGTCAGACAGAAAGAAAATAAGAGCTGACCTGCATCAATATTCGGGAAGAGAATGAGAGTTCTCTTGTTGAAGGAGATGAGAGCGTCCAGCATTAACTCATAGATCTTAATGGAATTCTGGATGTCTGTGGTAACAGGATGCTGCAGAGCTACAATATAGTTCTGTTCTTTCACATCATCCCCTGTTTTAGAAAAAAAAATCACATATACATAAAGGATAGCATTAGTAGTTTTTAACAAACTTAAAATGAGTTATTTTGCACTGTTTTGATAGCACAGTCTTCATTGTTTATCTCTAGCAACTGCTATCTCATCCCATTCATCTATAGTACATACCAATCCACGACTTGATGATATCAGTATAATCATCTCGTTGGTGGGCGGAAAGCAGCTTGTCGTAAGACGGGCAGCCAGCCAATAAAATGTGAGAATGGTCTTCGCACATAGAGATGAGGTGTCTCTCGGCCGAGCGCGTGCAGACGGCATGGTAGTGTGCCAGTTTGGAGATGGAGTGACGAATGGAATCATCAATGGTTCCGCTCACTTCTCCACCTTCCAGGTGCAAAATGCGAATGTTCATTAGAGCCGCTGCTGTCGCCAAGGCCAGCGCATCGAAACGGTCGCCATGAACGAGCAGAATGTCAGGAGCGAGACGCTGGAGGACGTCGGGAAGCTTCACAAGCGCGAGACCCACAGACTCCACCATAGCAGCTTCATCCTCACCACGAACAATAGTGTGCAACTTAGAGCGAATATCAAACTCATCCTGCTCAATCATACGGAACGTGTTTCTGGGAAAGAGAGAAAGAAAGTAATCATACATTGATTTATTTGTGGCATCCCGCCACAATATCAACATTGACCGCCACAAATAGATTTTCCAAAATGCTTTGAATTCGTTGAATAAACATGAGCACTGCACGTTTCAAAATCAAAATGCGGCGCGGGTGTTTTTATATGAATGTATCTTTGAAGGGCACCGAATGTGTTTAGAAAAGTTTCGATGTCATTTTCATTTAATCTTTCTTATAATGCCCGATAAAGTAGCGTTTATGAGCGGAGCACTGTTTTGATTACAGCTGTTACCGGGGAAACCGCTATTTCGCTCCTAAAGCTCCTCCTGCTGGTAGAGAATGAATGTGCATTTTCAATCAGTGCGTCTGCTGTTTTATATATTGCCTATATTTCCCCTGGGGGAAGTGCCCCACAGAGTGTAAGTCTGTGGGAAACACTGAATCATTAAATATGACTTAGGGCTGCAGCTAATGATTATCTTGATAATTAATCTGATGATTATTTCTAAAAAATTATTTTTAAGAAATAAAAATTATTTTACTTAATAAATTAATTTTAATCCATCTTTAACAAAATTGTTATTCCCCATCCTGTCCAACGCTGTCCTCCAAACAATGCAATTTGTGCAATATGAAGGCAATGAAAACAAATATAATTAATGTATAATCTAATATTATTTCAATATAGTTTACTTTTTTTTTTACAATTTGATTCGATTACGATTCACAGGGCTGCAATGCGATGATAAAATCTTTTTTCTTACTGTGTGACTACTTGGTACTTTCAAAGCAAGTATTTGTAATGATAAATAATGAATTTACTTCCAATAACTTAAAACTTCCAATAATTTAAATAAAGCAGAAAACTGCTGTCTCCATTGCACATATGCAGGAAAAAACTAAGCTCAGACATTCCAGAATCGCTGGAGAGAGAATCAGTTGTTTTCTCTATGTAGGCTAAGTGCAGTTAAACATTACTGTATGTGCAAAAAGTGGGGTTAAAATTGAAACGGATCACTTAGTATTTGAAAGCATATGTTAAAATCACTAAATTAAAATTGATAAAAGAAAAAATACAATTATTCATGTTACATGTAAAATTTTAAACGTACATTTAATGTCAAACAATAAATATTTTAGTAGTGACAATTATTGCATTTCTATTCTATTTACGCACTGTCCGTTTGACACACATATTCGTGCTGACACTCGTGTACTGAAGTCTGTGAAGTTTAATGGAGACTCGCCTGCTGACAGGACGAGCCTTTATGCAAAATTGAAATACTCATGGGACTTTCGAAATTTTACAGACAAGGATACATTTGTACATTTTTAGTTTTGCTCAATAATATTGATTGAAGCACTTATATGACACATTCTCATGTTTAGGACAACTTAGGTCACGCACTTTACCCGCTGCAGCTCACTCTGCGTCCATCGCTGTTTTCCAGATTAATCAATTACTAAATTTGTTGTGAATTATTTTTAGTAATGATTATTATTGATTTTCGCGATTCGTTGGTGCAGCCCTAATATGCATCAAAGAGCAATAGCTTCTAAAAGCTGTTAGAAAGATCCATCACAATTCAGTATGCAAATAAATTCAAGAAAGAATATCAACTGGGATTTAGCATGCAAATATTATAATGGCATCTTCGTTGTATGTTACGATTAGAATGGCGAGTATTTTACGTCAATTTTAAAATTTAGATTTTATATTTATTTAGCATCAAATACTGAAATGATGTAGAAAGCAAAGCCTGAATGGTAAGAGACAGTATGTTGTCCATTTGCTTTGAAAAAGAGAGTCTTTGCTCCCAGTAAGTAATGTCAAGTTTACATGACTCAAAGAGGAGTCAAGGCTGGTTTGGTTTCATTGATAAAAGACAATGGCTTCTAGCCACCATCAGCAGCCCACTGTGAGAGCCAAACTCCCACCGTCAAGAGCTGCATTCCAACATTTCCATGGCAACAGTGAGAAATTTTGCTGATTCATTTTCTGAAGCTCTCAAGCCCAGATGGAAGATCTATGGCTTATCTTGTTCTTTGCATCACTGCTATGAGACATTATCACCTAAGCTACAGTCAATGTCATCATTTCAAACCTGTAGGGCTTTCTTTCATCTATGAAACACACACAAAAAGATTTTGAAGAATCTCTCTCAACTGTTTTTGTCTGTACAATGAAAACCAGTGGGGACCAAAACAACTTTGGACTACACCGACTTTCAATGCACACCGACTTTTGCGTTCCAAAGAAGGAACAAAAGCATTTCAGGTTTGGAATGACAAAACTAATTTATTTAGAGTTATGTTTGTCAGCTGCTCTGATATGCAATATCCCTTCAACAATTTAATGTAGATCAATTAATTAAACAACTTAAAAAATTATGAACAGCATAATCGAGCAGTCTTACCCGTAATCGTCAATGAGATGTGACCCCAGCACCACCACCTCCAGGTCAAAGATTTCAGGGTGAGACTTGATGCCGAACATGATGGGTGCGAGTTTAGAGTAGTCCGCTCTGTTACAGGTGGCCACGCACACGCGTAATCGTTGCTTCAACCTCTTCTCCGATCGCTCCATCTTCTCCTGTGCTTGCTGGGTCCTCAGATAGTAAAGCTCCTAAATGAGGAACATGATTACAAATCTATACAGTATTCTGGAAATTAAAGAAGAATAAAAATGCTAATTCAGTCACAGCTAAATGCATGACATGTAGCTGAGAGCCTTATTGCTTTTGCAAAGTGATTACTACATAAGCAAATCATTAAAAGCAAATTCATTAAGTGCCATCCTTCCACTAGGTGACATAGTCCCTGACATGTAAACTAAAGTTAAATAGTGCAACTTGAACCCTGTATTGACAACTCAGCATCCCAGATTGGAACTTGATCTGTTTCATATACACTACCGTTCAAAAATTTGGGGTTGGTAAAATGTTTTTTTTTTGTTTTGTTTTGTTTTTTTTAAGTTAATAAGAAGTTCTTCTTTTTTTAAGAAGTTAATACTTTTATTCGGCAAAGATGCAATAAATTGATCAAAATTTACAGTAAAGACATTTATAATGTTAAAAAGGTTTCTATTTCAAAACAATGCTGTTCTTCTGATCTTTCTATTCAAAAAATCCTGCCAAAAAAAAAAATCTATCACATTTCGCAAAATTATATTGAGCAACACAACTGTAATAAGAAACGTTTCTTGAGCACCAAATCAGCATATTAGAATGGATTCTGGAGGATCATGTGACACTGAAGAGTGGAGTAATGGCTGCAAAAAATTCAGCTTTAAATATATTAGAATAGAAAAATAATACAGAACAATATTACAGCTTTTACTGTATTTTTGATCAAATAAATGCAGCCTTGGTGAGCATAAGAGAAAATGTCAAAATCTTACTAATTCCAAACTTTTGAACAAGTGTATTTTTAAACAAAAGAGAAAACAGAGTGAAAATAGAATTATAGTAAATCAGAGCAAGCCTTTCATGCCAGGGGTTGCCAAATTTGAGAGGGATCATACTTACATGAGTATTCCTGACCTGAACACTCTGAGGCATGAAAACAGAATAAGGAAAGAAATGAGGTATATATTGCTATGTCACTTCATAGTGGAATATAAAACTATGAATCCATTACGAAAGCCACCTGCCTGACTACACAATCCTTTACTGCCCTTCAGCACACACTGCTAAACGCTCTTCCAATGCCAGAGGACACCTTCAAACGTTTGTACCTTGTATTTGGACACTGACCATTTTAAAGACTTTAAACCTGTTTTACAAGCATAAAGTAAACAAAACAACTGGAAAGTAGCAGAAGCAAATTACATGGAATTGGCTATGCTTATAAGTGCCAAAGTCCCACTGCATTACAGGGAAATAACCAAACCAGCTAAAGTCAAACTATATTTAACCCTCTAAATCCTGACACATGAAATAGGCTAATAGTCAGAAAAAAAATCTAATTGGAAAATTTAACTGTTTATTGAGCCTTTAGACAAAATATAAAATAAAAGTTTAAAAAAAAAGTTATATGCAGAAGGCTAAAACTGAGCAAAAGTATGCAGTTTGGTTCAGTTGCTGATATTTATATGGCCAAAACAGAAGATGAAATTCTGATAATGTACGTCAATTAGATTTTTATAACAGTACAGCAGATTACTTGCACAAACGTTGTAATAAGTTGTCACTCTATATAATTTCATGATCAAAGCTCTGTAGTTTTTATTATGGTGGCAAAACATATAATGCACAACAACATTTCTCAAAAGCCTGCTGTATCATATTTTATGATACTTACATTTTAACATTATTTTTCTAAAAATTATAAAAATGTATAATCAAGTAAACCTAAGTTGCTTCAGTCCAGTAAATATTCATCTTGAAATATTACTTACAATATAAGCATTATTTTTATGTAAAGATTTCAGAGTAAAGATATTTAGTGAAGACAAAAAAAACAACTTATTGTGTCATCCAGCAGGAATATAATTGTAGGGGTGAAGCAAATAGTTGCGGAAAATAAATCTGATTTGATTTAAGTTGAGCACACTGTCTCGATGTAATATGATTCAGTACAACATCAACAAAAGATATTATTATTAGAAGAGATACAGCTAGAGCCTTTCAACCATTCATACTCAAAACTATTTCAAACACAGAGGAATGCCACAAGGGTGTGTCTTGGGGCCAATGCAAATAAGTTCAAGTTTGTGGTTTGAGTCGTCTTCTGTCACAAAGCCAAAGATGACAGGACAATCGGGTTATGTCAAATGTCAATTGTCAGAACTGAATGCCATGACAAACCAGTTGCACCAGATATCCAAGAGATTTCATATTCTTAGAAATGTACAAATGCAATATTTGTGTTCATGTTGGCTTCATATGTTTTAAAACATATATAATTTTCAATTAAAAAAATAAAATAAAAATTAAGACAAGTATTCTATTCAGCAAAAAATTCAGGCCTGAATACACAAATATACCTGAATCAATATATTTTTTGAATGTACAACATTTTCCATGTCTTTTCCCATGTTGGCCTTTTAAAAGTTTATGGTCTTTATTAAGATTTTTTCATATTTTAATAATAAGTCCCTTATGCTCACCAAGGCTGCATTTCATGATTAAAAAAACAGCAATATTATGAAATGTTATTACAAAATAATTTAACTGTTTTCTATTTGAATATGTTTTGTAAATGTAATTGTAAATGTGATGGCAAAGCAGAATTTTCAGCAGCCATTACTTCATTTTGAGCAGATATTTATTATTATTAATTCTGAAAACAGTTGCCGATGGAGACACTGTGTGCTTCGTTGTGAAAGCGAAACTACTTTGTTTGGTCTTCCAAAATAGGACGATATCCGCTTCGTCATGCCTAGAGCTGATCTGTGCTGGTCGCTGAGGGACACGGCATCACAGTCTGGTGAGGGGCGTAACATTTCCGACACACACTTGAGGTATTCACAACACACTGGATTAGGCCACGACCCCGGGGGGAAGTCGTGGCCTAATGGTTAGAGAGTCGGACTCATAACTATCTTTTTTTTTGTAGTCTTACAGGCAACAAACTTTCAAGGGTAGTGTAAATGTGCTGTAATCTAAACCTGACATTATTTAAACATGCATGTGAGATCTTTTACTCAAGACTACTCAAAGATTCACTCACACGTGATTTTACTCTCATGGTTTGACATGAACAAGGTCTCAGACAGAACAGTGTTTGTGCTCTTTTAGCAAGAGCTGTTTACAGAACATCTTCAGGGCCAACTCCCACGCTTCCACCAAAAATGAGGTTACAACTGCATATGGCATAGTTTAAGGCAGTGCTAGGCCTTCTGGGAAATCTTCATCACTCTCACAGTTGTCCTACCATGTACTAGAGGGCACTGCCCATCTGTCCCACCAGCCTCTGTGTTTCTGTCCACATAAAAATAAAAACCAGAAGTCATGTTGCTAATACCATTCTGAAGTGTCCACATCAAGATACTGAGAAATCCACCATGTTTCCAACTCACACACTCATCATCCCAGCTAAAAGGCATCACAAGACTCTAGCTGCACCCTAAACGTTACAAACGGGGGAAGGAGAGGGATGGAAGGAGGCAGAAGGAATGAGGAAAAGCGAATGACAAAATAGCATCTGACTCACGTGTGGGTTTCTAGCATGTCCTGGCATCATGGTGTGTGCAGTGTTTTCTTTTCCGCTGATTACTGAATCAAACGGAGCCCCTTTCTAGCTGCTCTCCCTCTATTCGGCGTCTCTTGACAGCCATTAAAGCAAAAAGGAGGAGGACAGCAGCCTCCTGCATGCTTCACACAAAGCAGCTCTGGCAGGACTGGCCCAGGGGGCGGTGTCAGAACAGCTCTTGCACACTGATTGGCTGTCTAGGAGAGAGGCGAGCCGGTTGTGTCTCCGCCACCTGCATCCTCTCCACACCAGGAAGGAGTTTAAAGTTTTAAGTGTTTTAAGGTAGGAGAGGGGCAAACCTACATACACACAACAGTTGGCAAGCATTTGTGTACAAAGAAACATCCTTCTTTGCAATAATCAACATCTTACTTCCTTTTAGCAGATGAATCAGAATCATGTGTACAGCCTTTGTACATTCTATCACATTACTATAATTGCACAACACACTTTCAACATTAAATACCTTCACAATTCTGATATAGCACATTCTGTAGCTAAATTATACCTTGAAACTTATTTTCCCAGGCATTTTAAGCTTGATTTTTTTTTTCTAACTAGCCAAAAACATATTAGTTGTCAGCTTTTTATATAAAATATTTGAATCAAATCATTGAAATAAATTTTCCATAATTTCCTTAATAAATCAGAATGATTATCTATATTAAAATATACAGTAACAGTCATTACAAATAAAAAGCAACTTTTAGTTTTTTTCAGTGGTATTTTTGACTCAAGACAGGTCTAAAATATATGAATTAATGTTTGTTAATTATAATAAGTACAGAAATAAATATATATGTACAATTTATTAACGCATTTACTGTATGTTTTTGTATTACTATAATAAACCTAATATTCTAACTTGCTGACAAAACTATGCGGATATGCAATGACATAAAAGGTAATTAACAACAACTTTTTTGACAACAATTCATATTTTCAAAGTATAGCAGGTTTATTTTATCATAAATTATTCTTTTCATTTAATTACTTCACAATTAAACAATTCACCATCAACCAAATATCAATAAATGGTGATATTTTTGCCCTTGAAGCATTTTTTCAGAAGCATTTTTTTAAGTAACTGAAATAAATTTTCCACCAAAAAAAACAAACAAACGGAATGATTAACTATATTAAATTATACACTATCAAACATTTTAAAAAATTAGGAATTTTTTAAAGTATATTTTCAGTGATATTTCTGACCCAAGACAGGTCTGAAAATATTAATTAGTATTATTTTTTTATTATAATATTTATTACAGTAATCATGTTAATAATTATGTAAAATATATTAATATGTGGGTCAAAGACGAAAAAGGGTTTAAGCATAAAAACAATAAGTGTAATACTGCCTTAATTGTTGTTGTTTTCCCCCAAAAAATTAAAAAAGTTTTCTGTTTCATTTAATTGCAATTTTGTTTTTCCAAGCAAAAAATAAACATCATACATTTTTCCCTGATTTACAGAAGACACCCACTAAAATGTCATTCAAAGGGTTTAAGCATAAAAACAATAAGTGTAATACTGCCTTAACTGTTGTTGTTTTCCCCCAAAAAATTAAAAAAGTTTTCTGTTTCATTTAATTGCAATTTTGTTTTTGTTTTTCCAAGCAAAAAATAAACATCATACATTTTTCCCTGATTTACAGAAGACACCCACTAAAATGTCATTCAGTGTAACAATCTTGTCAGGCATATTTACAACAAAAATCAATTTATGACATATTAAAAGACTAATTACTTTCACCCCAAATACTAATTAGTTGTAATTTTTTTTTTTTTTTAATTTGCCACTATCCTAGGTTTTGCCCATTTGTCAGTAAGAAGTTTTACTCATTTAAAACACAATAAAATTTAATATGCTCCCTTATTCTTTTATATATTTTAATATGTACAAGTCAGAATAAGCATGTTGTTTGAATTTTTACATAAATATTGCGTTACACTGAATGACAATGTAACATTATTTCAACCAAATTTTAACATTTTATTCTCCAAAAACTTATTTGAAACCTTAGAAGTAGACATTTTACTTACATTTAATGTGCTTTCTATGGACATATAATCACTTTTGTACATTTCTTTTGATGCGGACAGCTTAACGTCTTTGACCCATGTGCATATAATGTATGTTTTTGTATTTACATAAAACTAATTTATTAATATAATATTCTGACTAGCTGACAAATGCAAGTCATGCCTATGCTTTTGCAACATCAACCATACAAAGAAATCTGTCATCTGTCATTGTGCTCTAAAATAGAGCCACGTATTCTTAACCTGTGACCTCCACGCTCAGAGTGACGGAGCAGGTACAGCAACAGGTGTGTTGTGTGCTGAGCATTAAACTTAGGTGTGGTGGGCAAGGATCTGTGTCTGTTTGCATTTCAACTGTTACATCCTAAAGCAGAATCTAAGTGTCACAATGACAGTGATATATCTTACATGATCTGCACAGGGAAGTTAATGATAATGCAACAGCTGCAAGAAATCATCGCTTATAAGGAAGCTTATAAGACATTTGTAAAGCCACTGCACCAGATCTTCCCAAGACCGTCTTATTTTTTTCTTCTTTTGATAGTGCAGACTAAATATTTATCCGAATATCTATGCCACATCAGTGTCAGTGGTCCTTTATTTAGATCTACAAGTAACAGCACATTACTGTTTCCTAACAGTGTGAGTTTTGAACAATGCATACCCATGAAAAGGGTGAGCAAGGAAGAATTGCACATAAAGACACACTTACAACACGCTGATCAGAACAAGAGCTTCAACCAGAGGTGAGAGATGAGCCAAAACATACAGACAGAGCTACTGCATGCAGTCTATTCCTGAAGCTGTATCACTGATACTGCGATAATTCACAATAATACAGACAAGCATCTAAAACTGAGGCACATCCTTGTCAGAAGACACTCGGCCTATCATAACAAAAGGAAAATACTGCCATCTACTGGCAGAATCAGAGACAAGCACATGACCAAAGCCACCTGATCACAGCTCAGTACAACAGCACTGAATGAATGAGTGATCATGTACAATATAATACCTAACCAACCAGCAGGGGATTTACAATCTAACCAAACAAGAAATCTGTCCAAAAGACAGATCCATCAGCAGCTGGATTATCATAAACTCAGGTCTTACCTGCATTTATTCAAGGCTGAGCGATGAGCTCAAAGAGACTCTGCCTACACAGTTTAAACATTATGGCCTGGTTTCACAAACTGGGCTTAGACTAAGCCAGGATCAGGCCATAGTTCAATTAGGACATTTAAGTCATTTTTATACACATGCCTTAGAAAAAAACATTACTGTTGTTCATCTTGAGACAAAACAAGGGCACTGACAAATTTTAAAACCAATCAGTGCAAGTTTCTTTCAGTTGAAACAGCTCAGACTTACGTTTTAGTCTGGGACTAGGCTTAAGCCTTGTCTGTGACTATGCTTTTTCAGCATAACGTATTTTAAATATAACAAGCTGTCGGCGCCGATAGCAGTTGCGCTTCGGGTGTCCCGAGATCGAATCCCGCCTCGTGGACCTTTCCCGTTCCTACTCCCCCCATCTCTCTCTTCCACTCACTTCCTGTCATATCTATACTGTCCTGTCATAGAAAAATGCAAAACCGCCCAAAAAAATAAACTAAATATAATAAGCTTTACAGATCTTTATTGGAAAGGGTATAAACTAGGGATGCACCGATACCGATACTGGTATCGGGCTGTCATTAAGGCTAAACGTTTTCTGACTAAGTACTGATAGTTGTGTAAATACTGTCATACTAACAGCTGTCTAATTTTTGGTTGATTGTAATCTATTACATACCTTTCTATCAAAGTTATCTAACATTATCAAGCTGAATTTGTTCTGACACAGTTTAACTCTGAGTTCTTGTCATATTTTATTACCATTTTCTAAACTATAGCGAATAAACTGTGATAATGTGAGAAATGTTGAAGGTGTCTGAATAAATTTTGGTTTGACTGTATCTATTTGATAAATTAAGTTAACCAACTAACATTATACATACTCTTTTGGTTTCTGTACCAATATTTAAAAAATTTACAAATGCAATACAAATATTGGTATCGGTACTCGGTATCGGCAAGTACCAAAAATAAAAGTATCGGTATCGGGAGAGTACTGGAAAAAGTGGTATCGGTGCATCCCTAGTTTAAACAATATTTTTCATGCTTGTTAAATGAACCATGAAAAATTATTGCATATGCACATGTGAAACAGTCCTTAAGACACTTACGGTTTAAAGGCGGCAGACAATTAAGGTCCCAGTTATAATAACTTATAAAAGAAAGAGACTTTTCTACTGACTCTGACGTAGGTTTCCTGATCACCTGTGTGAACATGAGGACTGCAGATGTGGCCAGAGCAATAAACTGCTATGTCTGTAATGTAAGACGCCTAAGACACCGTCCTTGCAGTGGCAAAACACGTGTAACCATGTGTCCCCCCCAGACGTGTTTGAGAACTTGCAAGTGCCTTGGTGGAAGAGCGAAATAACAGCTTACAGCAAAAACTGGCAAATCCGGTGCAGTACATGAGGATGAGATGTAGTACTTAAACAGCTGGAGAACACACAAGATATTCACTGCAACTTTTGATATTGAACCTCGTTTTGTTCAAGGACTCGTTATTCCGTTTCTGTTCGTCAAATGCCTGTGAAATGCCTGTTTTCAGTTTGTCTCAGTTTTAACTTTATATTTTAAAATAAATATTTAAACGTTATTTACATTTTTGGGAAATAAAAGCAGTTGAAAGTGAGAAGTTTTTTTTTTCTTTTTTGCTCACACACACGTGTTATGTATATATCATCGTTGAATAAAATACTACATTCACAATAGTATAGGGGAAAAAACACTGATACAAAGTCTAAATATTTCTATCATCCTTAAATACTGATTACACATGAAAGTCAGACGAGCTGTGGAATAAAGTTATTAATAAACGACAAATGACGAGTCAAATATTAAAGGTAACGTGGCGAAAAGTTTCATGTGTGATGTTTACACACTCAGCTGCTGGCCCAAGAAATGCTAGCAAGCTATGTTAGCACATTACTTACGTTTGACACGATTATCTGTAGTACACTCCCTTGCGTGATAACAGGTGTTATAGAATCAAATACACCGAATGCTGATATACTTAGTAAATCAACAGAGGCAGATTAATCGGGTGTCAA